TGTGCACATTAAGACATTGTTTGATGCTTTCTCTGACCCCTTGAGGGCACCCTCTACTAAAGAAAATAGAAGATTTAGCATTATTGATCTTCTGACCCGAAGCACTGCAATATTTGTCCAATAGGTTTGAAACCATCATAGCCCCCTCAACACTTGACTTAAAAAGCAACAGGCTATCGTCAGCAAAAAGGAGGTGGTTAACAGACGGAGCCGTCGAGGCCACCTTGATTCCTTCCAGAACAGACGACTGAGAACTAGTTTTCAAGAGGCACGAAAGGCCCTCTGCTGCAATTAAGAAAAGATAAGGAGAGATTGGATCTCCCTATTGGATACCTCTAGTCGGTGTAAATTGCTCCAGCTCCTCACCATTGAATAATACCAAGAACGATACAGATTGCACCATACCCATAACTGTTTGGACCCAAGAGTGTGCAAAACCCAAATTTTCCATTATAGCTCGAAGATAAGGCCACTCTAGCCTATCATAGGCTTTCATCATATCCAACTTCAACGCACAAAAATTATTCCTCTTTGCTCTGTTCCTCTTCATAAAATGCAGGCACTCATATGCACATATTATGTTATCTGTGATTAATCTACCTGGGACGAAAGCTGACTGCTCCTCAGATATAATGTCCTGTAGAATCATCTTCAGCCTATTAGCAACAACCTTGGATGCAATTTTATAGATAACATTACATAAGCTTATAGGGCGGAACTGAGAGAGTTGAGTTGGATTAAGGACCTTTGGAATAAGCACCAAGACTGTATCATTCACACACTGAGCATCCTCCTCACCTCTGACAATTCTCAGGACCGCTTTTGTTACTTCATCTCCACAGATGTCCCAGTGTCGCTGATAGAAATGAGCAGGAAAACCATCCGCACCTGGTGCCTTAGTCGGGCCCATTTGGAATAACGCCTTTTTAACTTCTTCTTTGGTGTAGGGCTCAAGAAGAATAGAATTCATTTGGTCAGTAACTTTGACAGGCACGTTTGCTAGTACCTCCTCTACACCTTGCGATGTATATAAATTCTGATAAAACTCATTAACTAGTGCCTTCAAATCACCTTGATCCTCCGTTAGAACACCCAATGAGTTAGCAAGAGCTTTGATCATGTTTCTCTTGCAGCGCTGGCTAGCCCGAAGGTGAAAGAAACGTGTGTTTCTATCCCCAGCCAAAAGCCACTCCAACCGGGAGCGTTGTCTCCACATCAACTCCTCCCTGTGACACATCTCCACAAGTTTCTCATTGATTTTCAGTTCAATGTGAGACGGAGCCGTTCTCGCTGGATCGCTGTGAAGGCGTTCTAATTCGGTTTTTAAGTTTTTTATCTCCTTCCTCACAGAACCAAAAGTGTTCTTGTTCCACGAGTCTATCTCACCAGAGATTCGACTTAGCTTTGCTCGCAGCTCCTCCATGTGCTCCGTTGGATCTCCCATAGTCCAGCACGACGTAATCGTATTTTCCCATGTCTCATGTGTCTCCCACATTAATTCATACTTGAACTCTCTCTTCCTCCTTCGTGGCCCCGTCGCATGCAAGTTCAACAGAATAGGGCAATGGTCTGAATTTGCTGCTGTGAGGTGCCGTACGTGAGCATATGTAAACCTTTCATTCCACTCCGCCGAGGCTAAGGCGCGATCCAGCCGCACCCGGTATAACTTCCTCCCACCACTTTCTTCTCATAAGTCCAGAAGTGCCCCTGATAGCCAACATCCATTAACATGCAAACATCAACCGCCTCACGGAAGCCTTGTATTTGGGCATTGCTTCGTTCCCCAACTCCTTCATGTTCGTCCGGACGAAGCACCTCGTTAAAATTGCCTAAACACACCCAGGGCAGATCACTCAAAGAACTGATCCCTTTTAATATATCCCACGTTTGGAACCTTAGAGATGTTTAAGCTTCCCCATAGAACAATGTCATTCTCCATCGATCACTCCCTGGTTCTTCCACAGAGCAATCAATGTGGTACACAGAGTAACCAAGAATCTCAATCTTTATTGGATTATTTCAGAAAATACCAAGTCCACCACTTCTACCTTGACTACTTACAGCATAGCCATTATCATAACCGATCGCACCAGCTAAGTTTTCTACCCTAGATCTCTCAATCTGTGTCTCAACAATGCATAACAGGGTAGGGGCAAAATCCTTCGCGAAATCGCGAAGTTCTCGAACCGTCGCAGCGTTGCCCGCGCCACGACTGTTCCAACTCAGGATACTCATTGCACCCGGCGGTACCCCTCGAAGGAGCCCGCCGATTGTGCTTCATTGGTATTGGTAGCTTCGCCTGTCTCCACCGTCAATCCTGACTCATCCATCCCTTAGCAAAGAAGGTTGGATGATTTTTACTCTAGTCACTTGTGGTATTGGGCCGCCACATAACCGCTCGATTTGTTACACGGGCTAATACACACGTAAGTGCGTCTGGGCTTTGTGCGACGACGGCCTGATGACACCCTGAGTTCAAAATTGTCTGAAAAATATCCTAAAAATTCAAAAACTGTTCGTGACTTACAAAATAGTTTATTTATTCATAAAATGTTCACTAATTCAAAAAATAATCATGCATTTCTAAAAATGATCGTTAAATCAAAAGAATATTTGTGAATTTCAAAAATTATTACACCAATTTATGAAATGATCTTCGTCCATTCTAGAAATGTTCGCCGATCAAGAAAATTGTAAAAAAAATCACAGTTTTAGAAAAATGTTTGCAAATAGTATAAAATGTTCAGGAATTCAAAAAATGTTCAAAAATTTGTAAAAGTGTTCATGAATTTGAAAAATATTCACGATTTCAATTATGTTCACGAGTTTAAAAAAATGTTCATGATTTCACGAAATTTAGAGTGATAGTGTATCTCGGTGATGCATCAAAAGATGATCATGGCTATTCGAGATTATGATTTTTTTTCTCCCGTTGTAACACACGAGCCCTTTTGCTAGTATAAGAAAAATATGAAGATAAACAGTGCCAAGTCGGTACCAGTACATCCATCATTAGATATATTTTACAAATATTTTTATTCAGTATTGTACTCCTTCTGTCCGTACATAAGTTCCGCTCAAACGGAGTAATTGTTAATATTTTCTTCTATACATATAGCTAAACTTAGAAATATTTGACGTTTTGACTGAATATATCGGCAATCCATTTAGGGAGGACCGGAGGAGGAAGCATAGACCTGATTCTCTTTTTAAGTAAGAGATTAATTCTAACTAGAAGAACACCTGTGCGTTGCAACGGGGCCACATTAACTTTAAAAGTTCAATATTAATATTCTCATATATATCAAATGACATTGGCGACCTTTTTTACCATCAATTCCTCACACACACACTCGGCCTCCTTCTTCCTCACTCTCTCCCCCTCTCCCTCTCTCTCTCTAACACACACACATATCCATCTTATTGGGTACGGGACCATAATCCATCTATTTCACACACACACGCTAATACATAACAATATGGATTATGTGTATTATATTTGCCACCACAACTGAGGGAATTAATTTCATGTAACTCGGCCAGCCACAGCTCCAAGAATACGCGGAGGAGGTGGCCCGGGTCGGCGTCGGCGCCGTCCGGCACGGGCCACGGGCCCGCTTCCAAGCGCGTCTGCGCGTCGGCCACCCACGTCGTGTCCTTCAAGTGCCACTTCCACCGGAGTTGGCCAGGGAAGCCGCCCTTCTTTGCCCCCTTCACCGGTTGCGGCCAACGCGATGCCGCGGCACCCGGCCTCGCCGTCCTCGTCCTCCAGCACCGTCGCGACCCAGTGACGCAGCCCAAGCATCGGCCTCGAGAATCAAGAACGCTCGACAACGTAGAGGGAAGGAAAGGTCATATACATGTTATAAGAAAGGGAGTTTATTTACTGCTCCCTCGATGTATTGTTTCCTTTGTTTGGAGATTGATTACCATCCGTGAGTTAAGGTAAGGTTTACGTGATTGAGCGATTTTTTGAAAATCAATTATTTGTTTTCTAATTAATGTAATTGAGTGATTTAAGGTAAGGTTAATTAATTTAGATTTCGTCTTTAGAGATTGTTCGTGATTGATTCTACATTACTAAATAACTTGCGCTAGTATGGAAAGTTCTGATCTGTTTAGATTTCTTTCGTTGTGTGAGAGGGTGACGTGAAAATAAACCGATGAAGTGAGGGGAGGGGACGAAAAAAATCTACGAAAAAAACCAGCGAAGGTGGGAGGAGGTACCAAAAAAACCATGGAAGGTGGGAGGAGACTACCAACTGCTTCATTAGGAGTAGAAATTATTAGAGATTAGAGATTATTTGTTTCCTGAAAATCTATTATTTGTTTCCTAAAGCAAATTGCATTAATGAGAGAGATTTAGTAGATTTGGCTAAGGTAAGAAAGAATCTATTATTTGTTTGCTAAAGCAAATTGCATTAATGGGAGAGATCCGTTGATTTGGCTAACGTAGGAAAGAATCTATTATTTGTTTGCTAAAGCAAATTGCATTAATAGAAGAGATCCGTTGATTTGGCTAAGGTAGGAAAGAATCTATTATTTGTTTCCTAAAGAAAATTGCATTAATAAGAGAGATTTGTTGATTTGGCTAAGGTAGGCGGTTTTTGCGGTTCGTGGCGGCTTAGTTTGAGGTGGGACGAGGTACAAAAAAAACCATGAGAGGTGGGACAAAAAAACCCTGAAAGGTGGGAGTTGTCCCTGGTTAACCTACGAAATTTTGTAGATTTTTTTAGGACGAAAAAAACCCTGAAAGCGAGACTACCAACTGCTCCCTTAGGAGTAGAGATCACACCGTTGCTCTGCATTGATATCCATGCATATAACTTTTTTAAGGGGCTACACTGCTTTGACATGAGTCGCTTACGAACGTGCATCACGCAGCTGCTAGACGTGACGATTAGATCGGTGCCTACTATCAAGCAAAGCTTTTGAAGTCTCATGCATAAACTCGCGGCCTAAGTATACAAGTTAATTAAACGGCTTGGTTTGTGATTGGATCAGGCCATGATAAGGCAGGAGTAGTTGGCGGGATCGAGCAGGGCCGGCACGAGGTACCTCCTGCCGTTCCTGCCCACCACGTTGTATCCGCCGCCGGTGGCCGTGTCAAGCTTCACCGCGCCGGGGTAGCCAGGGTACGCACCGCGCCCGTACACTCCCGGGCACCCGCCGCCCACCTCCACCGGCGCGCCGGCGTCGCCCTGGAAGTATCCGTGCCCGTACGGGTTGGTCACCGCGCCGGCCAGCAGTGCCGCGAGGTTGATCACCATGCCGTCCACCCCGGCGTCGCCGTTGGGCGCACGGAGCGGAGTCTCCCCGCCCCTGTGGCGCCCAGGCCCTGCCGTCGCCGCCGCGGCAGGGTCCGCGGCGTGGAACGGCCACGCGCACCGGCCCGGGCACTGCACGGCGGCGTTGCCCACCCACACGTGCACCGCGCCGCCGGGCGCCAGCGAGCCGTGCAGCCCGCAGGAGCTCCCGCAGAAGCCGTCGACCGCTACGTTCGCGGCGGTGAGCACGACGGCCACGCCGCCGGGGGCGACGCCGAGCCGCGCCGCCAGCTGCTCGACCTGGAGCCGCGACAGGTGCTTCCCCAGCGAGCACCCCTCGTCGGACACCTGGTTGGTCAGCATCACCCGCGTCCGCTCCCTGCCGGTCCTCTGCACGTACCGGTCGACGGTCTCCCACCACTGAGCCACCGACGCCGACGACGCGGCCGCCGGAGCGCCGAAGGCGTGGGGGGGCGAGCGCGGGGAGAGCGAGAGCAGGAAGTCGGCGAGGACGGCCTTGTGGTGCGGCGAGAAGGCGCCGTAGTAGAGCACGGAGACCGGCACGGTGCCGTCGAGCACGCCGCCGTGGTGGTACGCCATGTCCGGCGGCGGGGGGTTGTACAGGGAGGACGCGCACGGCGAAGGGCGCGTGAGGCCGATGAGCAGGGCTAGCAAGAGGGAGCACGCGGCGTGCGGCTTGCTCATCGTCATTAATGGCGAACCATGGAACGGGATGCAGCGGAGCTAGTAATGCTTTGGTGCGCTTTTATATGGATGGTGCGTTGGTCTGTTTCTTGCACGGGTGGACGAGGAAGGCATGGAACGGATCGGATCGGATGCCCGGCGTGCGCTTCATTGGAGTTGCTTCCAAGGCAGGTTTAGGCGGACAGCAGTATACCCATCAGTGGACTTCATTGGATACCCGCGCGCAGCAGTGGCGCCCTGTTGCGATACAACAGCATCGCCGCGCTCGCCGTCGAGCGAACAACGGATGACCTCCAAACTGTCTCAAGCTGCTGCAAGCTCCTAGTGCCCGGCACGCGCGACTGCTAGTGCAGAGAGTATAACCTACAATGAAAAGGAACATTTTTTTTTGTCAATTCTTTTATTCTTGGTTAGTCAAAGTTCCAACACAGAGCAGTCACCCGAACCGAGACATGAGAAATAAACACCTTGTGTATCCTCAACCCAATTTCCAAACATATTCTGTACACGCAAAGTCATTTTTGAGCGTTTTCCGTGATGTGCCGGTAGATCTAGGGCCATCCACTTATTCCGAGATTCGTAAAAATGTATAACCCACCTAAATATGTATAGCACCGGTATATTTCTTGTATCTTTATTTTTCGTCAAATCAGTGGCAGCATAATGGACTCCAAAGTACACCTTTTGTCAGGGACGGTACACATGTAAGTTTCTCCTCCCACTCTACCTGCGGAACAAATCCATAGACTTTATTTCCTCTTAGAGAATTTAGATCAATCATATCTTTTAAACTATAGACTTGTTTTTATTTTTATTTTTTATATTTGGTCTCCTGGCATCAAGAACTTTAAAATTAGACCAATTTTGGTCACATTTCAAACACATTTAGTTTTAGACGTTTCACATTTCATATGTGAAATAAACACATTTCACTATAAAAATCTGAAACAAACCTATTTCACTAGAAATATGTGAAAATAACACTTTTCACATAAACCTATTAAACTCAAATGACACCTTGAGAAACTAATTATTTGGAAGTATGTAACATTTTTATTTCAAAAGAGTAAAATAAGTTATTTTTCATAACATTTTTTTAAATGTGTAACAATTTATTTCAAAAAAGTGAAATCATCTTTTAAAAAAATGTGCAATGGAAATATATGTGTTTTTTATGAAACAAGTCAGTGGAAAGTGAAATGTATTTTCTGAAAGTGAAAAATAATATGAAACCGAAAAGTTAACTTGTGAAACTGATTACTTCCAATGTGTAACCGTTTATTTCAGAAGAGTGAAACATGTTATTTCAAACATGTGGAGTTGAAATGCATGTGCTTTTTGTAAGCCCGTGGAAAGTGAATTTCATGTTCTGAAAGTGAAAACAATACAAAACTAAAATGTTAATTCGTGAAACCGATTATTTCGAAATGTCCAACAGTTTATTTCAAGAGTGTCAACTTGTGAAACCGATTATATGAACTAAAATGTCAACTTGTGAAATGGTCATTTCCAAATGTGCAATTGAAATAGATGTGATTTATCTGAAACAAGCCGGTGAGAAGTGAAATGTAAGTTTTGAATGTGAAAAACAACACAAAACTGAAATGTGAATTTGTGAAACTGATTGAAATCATTTTATTCATAAGGTTTTAATCGGGTGAAATATGTGAAATGTGTTTCATGAATTTTAACTTATTTAAAATGTATCCAAAATCGGTCTTATTTTAAAGATCTTTGCGACATGACTTCAAATATATAAAAAGTTTTGAAATCAGAAGTTTGGTTTAAGAGATATGAATGATTTTAAATTAGCAAATGTGAAATAAATGTATGCATTAGTTTGAGAGAGAAAGAAAGAGGGAATGGATAACACATATATGCAAGACACCGTGTCATCTGACCAAAAACTGACTTTGATGGGACCTGTGTATCCTATTTAAATGTTGTATAGTTATGTATTCCCGAAAACAGAATGCTTTGTTTTTTATACTACACAGTGCTACACCAATCTTTAAAACACAATGGACGGCCGGAGATCCGCTGGTACAAGACGGAACCGCACAATTTTCCGCTTCAATTGTGTACACCATGCAATGGATATATACAAATTTGAGGGCACACGACCGATCTTTGTTTTAAATAGGACGCTATGTCCACGCTATAACGTTTGGAGGGGTATGCTCCATTTAGCGCGCAATAGCGCAATTTGGCACGTTAATACATTAGCCGTGACATAGCCCACTATTTAAAACTCTATGAACAGTAGTCTACACAACACGACCGAATTGACATTCGAAAATAGATGTTTAATTGGCTTCTCGTGGTTGGAGAAGTTGTTTTTTTTACTTCCTAGAAAATTCCAAGTATAGTCAAAATTACTGCCCTGTTAATGATAAATATCACATGAAGATCTCAACTTTAAATTGTTTTTAACTTCCATAACATTTTACTTCTTGTTATTTCTTTGCAAGTATTTCGGGACGAAGAAAGTATTATTTATCGGAGCATCACAATGAATTAAGAGCAATGCTACACCTAGATAAAGTTACGTACAGATTTTACGTAATAGGCAATGTGTAGGACTGCGATTGGATGGATGGATGTGGCAGGGGCCCACACGGGTGAAAATCAGGGGGGGCGATAGATTTGTTAGGCAGGTTACGTAACTCTTCATAGGTTGTTTTCGTAGGTGTAGTATTATTGATGAATTAAAGCAAGAAAACACACGCACACGCACACATTGCGTGTGTCATTGAGCATGCTTTATGCGTGTACTTCTGTTTCGTACGTGCGTAGTTTTTTGTAACAAAGTACAAAAGCAGACGCTTGTACATATGCACATATACTCATCCATATGAATGCACAAACGCACACTCTATCCCTATGAGCATTTTCGAGAGACTGAGCTGGCACATCATTTTAAGATTGACGAAGTCGCATATACACTCAACCCTATGAGCACCTCCATTTTGTATGTTCATACTGCTGCATTGCTTTGATTGTAACTTGCAAAGGGTTTATCCAAATGTTGAAGATAATATACAATTGAAAAGATATGATGGGATGCAACATTTTCATACAGAACAAAATTAGAAAATCAGAATCTACATAAATGATCAACTAACTATTTTTAATCTATTGATTTGGGTAATGTTTCCATGCAAAAAAGTTCACATATTTCTTATGATTGAAGAGACGTTTAAAATATATGTCTGTTTTGTGCTATTTTATCGATTTTAAAAAAATATTTCCAATTTATTCGTGGAAATATTTGCTCCAATATCGGACGTGGGATAATTGCGCGACCCACGGAATTGCCCGCGGCGAGAGGCTCAGGTTTTTTGCATTCGTCAAACTCAAGAATACACTTACTCCCAGGCACCTTACTGAGCCCACACTTCAGCGGGTGATTAAGATCGTCCTTCCTAGGGAACTCCACTCTATAAACCTGATCCTCCAACCTGACAGGTGACCAGTGAAAAGACTCAGAAACTAGCCGTCTGAACTGCTGACACACCTGTTTCTCTGTCAGAGTACCCTGAGTAACCTTGACCAGACCAAACTTCGAGCTTTCCAAAGTAGGGGTCACCGAGATCGTGCGTGGAGTCTCAAAGAACATAATCTTGTTGTTGCAGACACCGCAAATGGTCACCACAGGCTTAGGTACCAAAAGCAGCGGACAATCGTCACATGAGTGTCCAGGCTTTAGACAAATGTCACATAACACCATCGTGCAGTCAATCACAAAGTGACCTGGCACAACACAACGATAACAGGTCATCTTTTGTTTCTTACGGACGACCTTATTAGCCCGCACATTATCAGCTTTGTCGCTCCCTTTGTCACTCATCCCATCTCTGTCATCGGTAGGTGTCGTGGCCGGAACAGACACCGCCGCCAATGCCTTAACCGCCGCCACCACAGCCTCAGGTAGAGGAGGCGTGGAAGTAGAAGCAGTGGACGCGGCCTCCATCGCCGCCCCACCGTCAGTCGTCGCCGGTTTGATCGTCGGCTGCTTAGGATAAACCTTGGGGACATATGGGCGACGCGTATGAGGGTATCGGTCATCTCCTCCCCGACCACCACGCGTATGAGGCCCTGTGGCACCCTCTATGAACTCGTCGGGGGGAGGGTTGAAGTTTCGCTGCCACTGGTTGCCGCCAAAACCTCTTCCTGCCCCGTCATTCCACTGATTCCATCTGGTCCGATAGCCATGATAGCCACCGTCATTGCCGCGGCCAACAATATAGCCACCGCGTCCGCCGTTGAAACCATAGCGGCCCGCGCCATAGTCGTCGCGGCCGTCGCTTCCGGAGGCAGCTCCATACTCGCTGTGTCCCGTGCCGCCATAAGCACCGCGCCCGCCAACGGGGCCAGAGCGACCCGCAGCTTGGACCTGCCCGGCATCAGCAGCCCCGCGCCGTCATCGCCGCATGGTGCAACCGACAGCTACGGCGGCTGCTGCACCTAGAGCCGCAGAGGCGGCTGGGAGCCATCTCCCCAGCCAGCCATGCTCGCCGCCGGGAGTCGGCAATGTAACGCCCCGAGACCGATGTGCCAGGTGTCTGTCAGTTTTTCGCTGTCGTTGTCATGTCTTTTGCTTGCGTGTTGCATCTTATCATGTCATCATGTGCATTGCATCATCATGTTTTCAAAACTTGCATTCGTCCGGGTTCTCCCGTTCTCTCCGCTGTCCGTTCTGAGCCCAGACACACTTGCACGCGCCCGCGGCACGTCCGAAATATTATTTTATAAGTGGCCGGAAAATGTCCTCGGAATGGGATGAAAGTTGATGTGCGGTGTTGTTTTATTGTCAGTAGACCGCCTGCCAAGTTTCATCGCATTCAGAGTCCGTTTGATAGCCCAACCGTTAAAATATAGCGGCAATAGTAGCCGGTCTAACGTCGGACGTTTTCGGTCTCCGGAAACAGTCGCCGGGCCTCCCTCTCTTCTCTTCTCTCAGCTCGAGACCGTCTACACAGCCCACTACCTACCGCCAGGTCCAA